CTTTTTGGCTTGACGGATATTTCTCTTTTTTCTTCTCTCTTTGTCTGCTTCAGCTAGTCAGGGGAATGTTGCACTGCCTTCTTAGATTGTTGCATGCTGTAGCTGGTGCTTTGAAATCTTGTGTTTCTTTTCTTTATTTTTGCTTCGCTGTGTTTGAGCTTACTATTACATCTGTCTGAGTGCTTTGGTGCACCATGAGTGCAGTATATAAATAAATAAATAAATAAATAATACGCTGGTCCTAACCTACTGAAGAGCCTTGGGGACCAGCGTATTAACATGATTCGTCTGGGTTTAAAGGCGGAACGAATCATGTTATAGTATTTTCCTGCTTACTAATTCTCTCTCTATTTCTCCATTATTCCTTTCCTTTTTCTATGTCTATCCTTCATTTTATAGATTTTGCTTATATCTGGAACCTTAATTATATAGCCAGCGCGGCGAGGAGTTCAAGCAAGCATGACGGTTGGCGGACTCGCTTGGGACGTTGTCAGTCGGAGATTCAAGGAATCAAGGCCAAGTTCGAGCCTTTAATTCAATTTCCAAGTCCTCAGTCATGTTGTTATGTAACGTAGTTGTGATTCTAGCTTACTGTACGATTGTTTATTTTACGAACAAATACGTAAATGGGGAGTCGATGAATCCAAGAGAGCTACATTCGGGAGTGATGCCCCAAAATACCCTTAAATTATTAATAAGTTTGCAGCGATTTCATTCATTCCTTTCCAGTTAGTTTCTCATTCGAACAGTCAGAGGCTTCGTACGACAGTCTTACGGCGGGAGGGCACTTCAGCTGGTGAAATTCGTTGGCTAAAGTTTGGCGTCGATTTTTCTGGCGCACGATGCGTGAGGATATTGTAATGTACGTCTGCTCTTGCGAAGCATGCAAGCGTGAGAGGCCTCACCCCCTCTCAAGGGAGGTCTTGATACCTCTTCACGTCGGAGCAGCTTTCGACAAGATCTATTTAGATATCAGCGGACCTTATCTTCGCCCTTCACAAGGCAACGAATATATCTTGTGTCTTATCGAACACTTCAGCGAATTCGTAGTCTCTGCAGCACTGCCGGATTGTACAGCCGACAATCGCCAATCGCCCAAACAGACTGGAACCTTGAACTGATCTTAAGGAAGGAGCCTTGTATTCTCTTTTAAATCCAAGTAAAATTCCCAAAAACCGTACTCATGTTCGGAGAATCACATCAGGGGAAGTGGAACATCAGATGAGACATGCAAGGAAAAGATTGACGCGAGTTCGTTAAAGGCAAGCCGAAGATTCGAAGAACTCAACTTTGTCAAAGAGTTCCAGTACCTTAGCGAGGGGTAAGGAGGTCCAACATTTTGAGCAACATGATTACCTAATCAAATAATCAAAAAGCGCAGCCTTCAAAACATTCAAAACTATCACAGAAAGACACAATGAGCATTCCCATCTCTTCTCTGGAGAGGAGAAAAGGCAAACGAAGGCCTTACCTGACTATCAACAGGTGAACCAACTCAATTCCATCAGTGCCTTTTCACTGTGCTAATGTCGACTAAGATCCAATGGATATGTGAGAACTTGAATAAGGAAACGCCGAACTGTTTGAGACCGCTGTAGTTTGCACGACTGCTACTGACATAACAAAGAAAAGGAGAGCTTCTGACGGAACTGAGATTTCACTTGAAAGCAGGGATTGAAAAAAAAGCTTAACGCGAGCAACAGAAGTGAAAGTTTTAGTAGGACCGGAACAATTGAACTTCTTGAACAGTCTTGAAAAGAGACTACGAGTTCGACTAGAGCGCGGTATCTGTTGGCCCAATAAAATAGCCCTATCGAGAGGATCAGCAGTCGAATCATGGCTGTGAGGATAGAAACGAAGGTAGGGTACTGGACAATAATCCGGAACCACAACATCTGAACAATAAAACCGGAACTGAATTAGAATTAAAATTGATATTGAAGGGATTCCCATCACAGAGAGTCGCCTGCCGAGGTGAACTCCCGTTTTTACCACCAGCCAAGTATGATTCCAAAATAAATAGCGTGTCATCTCAAAGCATGGCCTACCTATCGATGCTGTAAAGGGCGTTATGGGAGCCGTTGGCGTCTCCCTCTAAAGAGAGAGACAAATGTTAACTGCATTGATGTGTTACTCACTGATCCTCGACCATCGGACGACCATGAAGATCTGCAGCGCTGGATGTCAGCGCAGCCTAAGCAGAGGCTCTAGCTAATCATTGCTGCAAAGAACCTCGCACTCGGTGGAGCACCCTACTAAGTCTCCTTGTCAGATGCCAACTACACTAGATAATCTTGAAAATGATATCAAAGATTGTGATCCAATAGATTGATCCGTTAGATTCGTATTCGGTTTCATTATATCATGGTAACTGTATTCTAAGCGGCCGGCCAATATCAGCACTGAGCGGTGTGAGTGCTGATGAGCTTGGCATATAAGCCATTAAAAAGGCGAAGGCATGCGGGGTCTCGATATTGTAAGGGATAAAGAGAACGGTGCCGGAAGGCACAAGTACGGGTTCGAGTAGATCGAAAGCTTTAGTTTTGCCTACAAATCGCCATCTATGTGAGACAAATGTTGGTAATGAGGATTGAATCCGTTATAGTGAGCTTTTTACTGAGATGTGCTTAGAGTTCATTTGTCGATTCAGAGAGGTGCCCATTTTAAAACATTAACCAGAACATTAATCCTAGAGCTAGCACATTCCCAATTATGTACACAAATTTGGTATAATGATACCAAACAAAAGAACAGCAATAACCGTGTTGGAAAATTTGTTGGGAGGAGGGTTGATTTCGAAGAGAACATCTCACATTTTTTGTCTACAAATTTTCGAAGCCTAAAGAACCTTATTAGTCAGTATAGGCCAGAAATTAAGAGAATTAAAGAGAATCGGTATTTCTCAAATCGAGAGCTAATTTAGTTGGACATGATGCTATCTCCGCAGCATTCAGACAGCAATGATCATTACTGCCAATGGAGTGGGTGATTTGCATGACAGGCACGAGTCAATTTTCTTTAAAAAATTATAGTATAATATATGACTAAAGACATCAGATGACGAATAGCCAGAAGTGGAATAGCTGAGAATAATTATAGATTCCACAAGTATCAAGGAAGAACCTTGGAACCTTGTAGTAATTCAGCACTTGCATGCGTGCAATCATTCGATCAGGGAAATCGGGGACTCTAAAATCGCCAACGAAAACACACTTCACACAAAAGAATTCAAAAATTCAAAGTTCACTAATGCACTTGAGTAGGTAATTGAACTGCTCTGCAGTACGGTAAACTACAGTTATTCTGAGAGAAGATGCGAGCAGGAAACATTCTACAAGCAAGGCTTCATAGGCGCAATCAAGGATTTATTGAGAATATCAAGGTCACGAAGTTCTTTATTTGAGAACATAGCAACTCCAAGACCTTTTTTTCGAATTCTATCGCATCGAATAACGTCAATAACGTGGAAGTTGCTTATGTCATATAGTATGTTAGTCATGTTGGTGAGTAGTTTTGAGCAAACGAGAGTAACCTTGAACGTCCATACATTCAATGTTGAGAAAGGAAAAAAAACTTCGACAGCTCTAGTACGCTCGATTATTGCACAGCAATCATTTCAAGCTTTCACGGAAGAAAAATTACATTGTTCAAGTAGACGAATGCGCTGAATCGGAATAGATCGCTTCAATTTGTTTCTTCGAATTGCAAACTTCCACTTTGGTTTTTTCAATGTTCCTAACTCTCGCAGTACTTTCTAAAAACGCTGCCCGGGTATGCTCAATGATGGTTTTCAAATGAGTGGTGCTACAGGGTCTGATGACAGCAGATAAATAGCGTCTTATGATCCTTCTTCAACAACGTGCAACATGACAGATATGTTTGAGTTGTTCGTCCGAGATTTCCTTTTTTTCCCTAACATCTGACGGGACTCACCAAGAACTCTTGATGAATGATGGTTATTTAACACTCAAGGTGGCATGAAATGGGAATGAAAAAAGTTTGAATAGAAGTTTGAAGAATGAAAAAGCCAATAAAAGCCTCGAGGGATATCAAAATCTCGTACACAAACGCGACCAAATTCTGCAATTACAGCACAAAAACAAAATTCAAATGCTTTTCTTGATGGCTTTCCGATGAGAAGCTCCAAGCACAAGAGCAGTAGATTCACGACTTAATAAACTGAAATGGAAGAGAGGGAAAAGGTAGATACTAGAGCCTTGCAAAATCTATACCGCGCGTTCGAAGGCGAAGGTTTGGCATGGCTTTGACAATTACTTTTTGCTCCATTTGGTATGAAGAAATTCAAATTTTCAGAGGATCTTTCTCTCCATAAATTTGGAAGGCTGAAACGTAGATTGATCATTGATCAAGAATCTGCTCTCAAAGAACTGTTTCATTGGGTGCATTAAATGAACATTAATAAAAGGCCTGTGAAAAAAGACAACATTGATTCTAATACCAATTCCTCGACCGTCCGTGTTAATACCTCTACGGGATAGTTTTCTCTTAATATATAGTCATTAGCGATATACAAGAAAAGTTCCGAATACGCCAAAATCACGAACGTTCGACACAATAATCTACTCTATTCGCGCAATCTAAACCTTGCTAGAACTGATACTCTCTGATACTTACAAATACAACAATATCCAAGTCGAGCAAATACAGGTTAAAAACTGAACGAATATGAGCTCTATACAGTGAGGAGCTATTGTTTCAGAAAGAAGCGATAGCTCGAGTGGTCAAAGCAAGTTCTACAGTCGGCAGGCACTGGAGGAGCTGTGGCATTATAAGACGGCATTAGATTCTATCCCTCTAGACCACATCTCCCAAAATTATGCTTCAGATGTCGTATTCACCGTATACTTCAGTGAAACCTAATGAATCGTTGACAAAACACTAAATAGGAAAGCAACTTCTAGCGCTGGACAGCATCCAGGACTGTTCTGACCCATTACGTATTAGGAATAGCAATCGATTGGTTGACTGCTTGATGAGGGCTAGTGGGACTGTTTCGACAAGATTTCATTACGGATTTCAGAGCCACGGGGTGGTATCTTTCGGTTCTTCAGGAGACCTAATTCGCAGATGCACCGGTATTGATCGGGAATTTCCAACAGCGACTGTACGGCCAACTTCACATCACCCTCAGATGGTCCAGACGCTCGTCGCATAATCTAAAAATGAACGATTATGTAGGATATAGATATACTTCCGTTCAAAACTGTATATTGTGGTGGTAGACAAAAAGTTCGAAAAATGTTGGACGAAGTACAGTCCATTAGATCTAATATGCCTACCTCATGGAACTCCGTGAAATGGAAATTGTCCCATGGGCGTTTCGGCAAAGACTCGTCGAACACCTTAATTTTTTCCATTAAGCTTGGCTTAGTTATCGTCTAACAGCAGGAAAATTGCCGGTGAAAAGATATTTTGACTAGATTTCTAGAATTGAAAACAGCATGCAAACTGACTCTCATCATTTCCCACGGTCCATCACCAACACCGACAACAATGATTGATAATGGGTATTGACAAGCTTGTACAATAGCACGTCGTGTGGCGCGTTCATTGGTTACCTGGCCATCCGCGATGATTACCAAGATGTGGTACTGTAAAATGTGAAGGTAGAGGTGTAAAAGAATGCCGAGGCACGCCAGTTGAAAGCCTACATCGTTTGCTTTTTGGCAGATCTCCATTGCTTGGTAAATGAGCGGCGCGAAATTCGTCGGACCACTCAGGTCGACGGTAGGTGTGACGTCGTTGTAAACCCTAAATAGTGGATATTTGGAACAGAAATTTCACGTCTAAAGGTAGTTTCAATTGAAGCATTACAGGGGAGTCATCTACAGGTTGCATTGAATGAATCTTCGAGCCTAACCCCTAGGTTTCCCTAGCCTCTTTACCCTAATTGTACATGAAGTATATACTGGTCGTGAGTGGACGTACATTCAACTCAGTCTATGTTCCTGAACGCAAGGTAACTGAGCGTAAGCCAGAAGAGGCTGTCACTAACCACTTCCACTTCACCCTTTTCTCCGAGAAAGCAGTGTCTTAGCACCTTCAATGGCCCGATACAAGGCGGCTCCACTGATACTTTCGGTAGTATTTTCAAAAATAACTAAAATTAGCTTAGTATCTCAGGGTTAACCAAATTCCAAAGCACCCCACTACTGAAGAGGCAATGAATGAAAGACGGCCGCCAATCTGCCTCCCCCCCCGTAACAGTCCTGCTCTAGGGCCTTACGTAGAAGAAGTATTCCATCACTCCATGAACTAACAATTAGACTTCAGTTAAAAGTATTTGGAAGATGTTCACCCTGCCCGAATTGATGGTATAACGAAGAATTAACGAGAATTCTCACCTAAGCACTTCTTCAAGAGTTCTACATTCACCGTCTTGCTTCAACGGGAAAACACTCCAATCACCAGTTTTTGCATCACCAAATCCATATACAGGAATACAACCAGTACTGGCGAACGGTGCTAACGTTCTCCCAAGAATTGTGATCACCTGTAAAATAATAGCATTTTGTAGAAGTTACAATCAAAGGGAATTTTTCAGAAAGATTCTAAATTCTGCTCGTGTAACCAGTAGTTTGGCATTTCGTGGCAAAATTTCTTTTCTCAGAACGACACCATATCGCAACAACGATCACAATTTGATGGAGCGATTTCCAGCGTTTGTATAATTCGTTCTGCCGAGATGAAAATGAAGAATTGCTGTAGTTTCCTGTACCTCTCGTTCACAGGAATATATCTCTTTTTTCCGTCTGCCCTCCGCCCGTTCATCCAACAAGGAAATCAGATTCTCATGACTGTAAAGGCGTAGCAAGATGTAACTCGAAGGTGATGGGTCACCAAGAAGCAGCAGGACCTTTGAGGTAATTTGTGCTGTTGAGAAGGCTTCACTTGAGCTCTATTCATGAATGTCATAAAGAGGAAGGTAGAGGAAGGGAAGTGTTCCAGACCCCCGACTAAGGGAGGTCGGTACTTTGCGCGAAATAGGATCGTCTAAAAGTTGAAGGTAGCGAAAGATGGCTAATTGTATTCAGCACAATCCAGTATGACAATCATGTTTTGCGTTTTGTAATCAATGCTGAAAAAAAGATTCAACGGTGAATATCAGACGGCTACAGGAGGTATCAATGAAAACTAGCAGTAGCAATCTGGGATTGCGTGCCAACAGGTGCACTCAAGCTGGTTAGCAGTTGCAAATGCTACTTCAAGTAAATTTACGTAGTAACAATAACGGCTTTGTAAGCAGCTCGCTCTTGATGATGACACTGCCGCAACAGTTCTAAAGGTACTCGGTGTTTTATAACCCTACTTTCCAAAGTTGTCAACGGATTCATGACAAAATATCTAAAATAAACCTGCTGATATGGATTCGTGATGTTGGGATGAATTGTGTGCAAAGAACGTCCACCAAACGAATCTTCACCTTGATATTTATTACTGGCTGTGTAGTCGATACCTGTAAAGAACGAAAGAAAGATTCGCTCGAAATGTCTCAGGATAAAAAAGCTTAAGCTTCTTGCGATAAGAGACAGAAAAACAGTGAAAGTCTATTCGAGAAAAATTCCGCTCGAGTCTGCACAAAACACAATGGCAGCTACCCAACTGAATGTTATGAAGGTGATACGATACATATAGTCTCTCAGATTGCTTATTCTGTTATGCTAGAGCCCACGATAAAGAAGTCGAAGTGCCTTCTGGGCATCTCTTGCCACAGGAAGCAAATGGCACATTGATCAATCTCCTATTGTTCAAAGGGCTTCTACCTAAGCAATATCGTATGCGGTAGGCTCCCATCACCTGGATATCTCCAGTTTAATGGAAGTCAAATGAGGGAGCGAATGCCAGTAACGGAATTGATTGGCGCCTGAAGACTGTTTCCTAGACTTGATTCTTTTAAGGTACGAGCCTATCAATCCAGCAATGAGACACATCTGGGTGCTCTTATGTATTTTCATTTTCAATCATTCAAGCACAAACTTTTGTTAAGCAAAGTCATAACGTTCGAACAGGGGTTCATTCCATTCGTCGAGCGCTAATCTTGTCGTGGAGGTTTTCGTTGTTTACTAATGGAGCAATATCAACGAGCGGAGCAATAAGTTTCAGTTCAATGGGGGCCGCAACACTTTGCTTATCAGCATTCGCTTATGTAATTCTCAAGTCACTTTCCATACGCTAAACGTAGTACTGAGCAAAACTACACGTTCGACGTAGAAGTTTATAGTTAACTCACGGTGAAGCATGGGAAATCGAAGCCGCTCCTTGTAACATCCCTTATGCAGGGCTACACCGTCATTGCGGCAACCCATTTACAAAAATCTCATTTCACGATCTCGTTCTTTTCTATTATTTGTTTTTATTCTATATCGCGATTTCATCACAAGCTCTGGAGCTCGAGGATCAACAAAAAAAGCGAAAGCTTAGTTTCGCACTTCACATTTTCCCACACTTCTCCCATTCACCCACAGAAGGTTGCACAAATTAAATTTTCAAAATGAACAGAGAATTTCAGAATACTAAATTGGACAGGACATCTGATTACCACCATCGCTGTTGTAGACACACAGTCAACTAATTGACCTTTATCAAACCGTTTAACACATTCCATTTTCACGGATCAATAAAGAAACGTATCTGCCGACTCAAAGTGAAATTGTTGAGAAAAGCGAAACCTTTACAAGTAAGGCATCGACCATTTCACAATCGTGGAACAGTCGCATTCCAAACTAGCTAGTTGAGCGTAGTAAAAAATGTAATGTATCTTAACTACTAACGTAACACAACAGCCACTCAGCCATTTTACGTAAGGCTTCCCTAGCTATACAGGGTGTCCCAAAATTATTGGCGCCGATTTATAGCACTATATTTCAAACTTCTCAGCTGCGAAAGACGATGGAATCTCTATGCATGTAAGCCAACACTATGTGCTACAACATGCTACGGTCTCCTTTGAAAATATCCCCCAAGAGTGCGGATAGAAGTCGAAGTTTGCTCTCGACTTGATCGCATGTGGCACGCAGGTATCCTCCTCCATTTCATCCCAGCCATTCTTCAGCCTTTGCATTCTAGGACTCCAAACTGAGATTGCAAACTCGACAGGTCCTCTTCTAACCAGGAACCAGTCGTGGTGTCAAGTGAGTCAAGTTCTGGAAAATAGGATGACCATCCCTTTTCACCAATGAATTCGGGCAGCTGTCGTCGGCACCACTCGCGGGCAAGCATGGCTCTGTGGGCTGGAGAAGCGTCTTGCTGGAAGAACTACGAGATGTTTCAGGAAACGTAGTCGGATCAGTGTTTCATTTACTTCCGTCAGTACGCCGTTCGAGTACTGATCTTGGAATTTTCATGCCTGCACCGAAGAAACCATGAGCGGCTTACCCTTGCCAGTGATTTTCTCGGCAAACATCATTTTACTGTTCTGATAGCAACCTTTTTGTGAGATATTACACGCGAGGCGTTTCTTTCCAGGACGCGAACGTTTTGGTTGTTGGGGAATGGCTCTATCTCAAAAAATTTCTTGACCAGAGAAAACGACGATGGGTTGCGTGTCGTCACTTTCGACTTTCTGCATTTTTGGCCCGGCAGTATCTGATGAGATGGGAACTGAAGCGAAATCTCTGCATACGATAGGAACGGAAGCTCCTGCATGACATTCTTACATCGCGATAACTCCTGTAAGCCGTGCCCGTTGACTTCCTTTTGATGGGTCACCCAGAATCCCGACCGATTGACAGACGGACCACTTTAATAGTCCTATCTTCAGACACATTCTACCTTTCTACCTTTCCTGGTATGTCTCTGATTCAAGCTTTTTTTCTGTATCGCTTAATAGCCTCCTATAAGGTTATTACAAAAATCCCAAGGAATTTCATAATGCCCTTCCACCTCTCGCGTGTCAATGATTGCAACTGGCATTAAATGAGCCTCCTTTATCTGAAAAATATTGGGAGTTCCACATCAGTAGCCATGCATACTGCAAGTATACCTTCTTATGCAACTATGTATTTAATAACAGGTTATGTCAATTTGATATACTATTCCTACCTTAAAAATTTCTGAATTTTGGCGCCAATAATTTTGGGACACCCTGTCTATTGCGAAAACTTGATATGTCAGGCGTAACAAAAGCAATGGTTGCTACCTTCTTCGTACAGAAGGAACCCCAACCCCAACCCAATGAAGCGACAACTATACTTATCTCTAAGATACTTCATCGTCACTGATTTCACAACAGTTCTTATTGTTGACCGAACTCATGGAAAGACATAAGGGAATCCCATTCGAGATGGTGTTGGATTCAGTTTTTTCGAACCAACGAAGCGAACTGATAAACTGACTACTCATAAACCACTAAAAATTGCATCAGTGCGGATTTCAGGCAATGATCAGGTAAGACACAGAACGTCTCTTCATTACTTTTATCCCTGTACAACTTTCATGGTTAGGTGACTCCAATTTTCTACTGAGGAAGTACCCTTGAATGCAAGACAGCAAAAACCCACGAAGTGCGTATTATATTCCATTTCATTCTTACATCGCACTTCCTTTCCAGTGTGCTACTGGTTCTAATATTTGACAGTTCGTAGTGATTAAGATCTTTTTCTCCAGAATTTTCATCCGAACTTCTGCTCCATATGGGGTTGGCGAGTAGTCTAATCAAAACTCATTTGCCATTGACGACATGTTCATCAAACGCTACTGCTCGCTTCTAACAACAAGCACATTTCTCGTATAGGCTGTTTATTTATTGGCAGAAAAACTTTAGAACGTTCAATTGAATCCCATTAAATAAAACCCCAGAAAAGTCTGCCAAGTTGCCGAAGAAATGTCAATGATTGAAGGCGGTACATCCGAGGTGCTCACCGAAAATCATATTGGTGTTCTCCAGTCCAGCCTTCCGCATAGCATCTGATAACGTATCCAGACTGTCGATAGTAAGCAATATCTCTTGCATCGACGTCACTCCCATGACCGACAGCAGTGACGACTGTTTCCGCAGCTGAAAAATGAAATTAGGAAATGAAAATGAACAGTTTTCATGAGGTTTTGCAAATAATTCCATCTAAATTGATAATCTCCAATGATTGCCTGAGATATTCATTTATGAGCAGGGTTGGTCATCAGGTTCATTCCATTAACGGGCATTATCAGAGGAGCAAAATAGAGATAAAGGAACGCATGTAATTCCAAAATTACTTGAAACTTAAAGAATGTTCAGATACCATCGCTACAACCTGCTCCACTCAAATGAACTCTGGCTGCTAATCATTTAAATGGTTTCACCCATGGATGTGAAGTGTTGAAGAGTGTCGTTTCCCACAGGGTCATGGAAATAATTTTGACTGTCTATCATCATCTAGAATGATCGCTTAGATTTTCCGAACCGATAGACCCACGTCCACGTTGTAATTTAAAAGCAGTCGAACTCGAATTTTAGTGGTAAACGATGAGCACATCGAATTAGTGGAGCATTCTCCCGCCCATAAATCTCTTTTTTTCTTTTTTCCCAACAATCGCAGTAGTAGCACAGTAGAAAAGCATTCTCTATAGTAAGTGAGCACCTCTCAAATAACACACTATTTCTCACTTCTGTAAGAGATTCGGTAAAAGGGCGAGTCCATGACAAACTAGTTTAATGTCTCCAGTTCCGGAAATTTTGTCATACCAGATGTCGTGATTCATAGTATCCAGCAACGAAATCGAAATTTGTATTCAAACAAGGTGTAGCGAAAAAGGAAGTCCATTTGAAGTGTGATATGATTGTTTTTGTGAGCCCAATGAGCCTTTATCATTCACGCTGATAATGAATACAAAGGGCAGGGAAGGAGGAAGTGGGACGATCATTAGGGCAATAGGAGGATTTCTGAGATCGCGAGCCTATAAGCTAACAAAACTTCAAATTGTACAGTTACCAAGTATGTCGCTCACCATAACTCGGCAAGCTGAAGTGGTTCCCTCTATCTAATCGAATGCCATTAACCCTTTTTCTTTACTTGTTATAACTTTCATTGCTGCATTTTTATTTCCACCATATGTTATCATGATCAATCATAAAATTCCGTTAACACATGGTGGTCGATTAGCGAANAAAAGGGCGAGTCCATGACAAACTAGTTTAATGTCTCCAGTTCCGGAAATTTTGTCATACCAGATGTCGTGATTCATAGTATCCAGCAACGAAATCGAAGTTTGTATTCAGACAAAGTGTATCGAAAAAGGAAGTTCATGTGAAGTGTGATATGATTGTATTTGTGAGCCCAATGAGCCTTTATCATTCACGCTGATAAGGAATACAAAGGGCAGGGGAGGAGGAAGTGGGACGATGATTAGGGCAATAGGATGATTTCTGAGATCGCGAGCCTATAAGCTAACAAAACTTCAAATTGTACAGATACCAAGTATGTCGCTCACCATAACTCGGCAAGCTGAAGTGGTTCCCTCTATCTAATCGAATGCCATTAACCCTTTTTCTTTACTTGTTATAACTTTCATTGCTGCATTTTTATTTCCACCATATGTTATCATGATCAATCATAAAATTCCCTTAACACATGGTGGTCGATTAGCGAACTATTTTGGAAGGAAGGGTTTAATCCTTAGCACTCATTCCATATAGTTTCAGGTAAAGAAGAGGAATAAACCATTCGGTAGAGGTGTCGCTCTCTTCTCATACCGAATCGCTAGAATAATCCCATTGCAAAAATAGCCTAAGACAAACAAGTTAGATAACAACCGCAGTACTGTCCAGTTGAGGAGAAATCAGAATAGTTCGGGAGCGTGATGTGCTAGGAGATTGAGTCGTGGGAAAGGAAGTAGAAGAGGAAGACATAAAATAATAGTAGAAAACTTCAAGACAACAAGGGCAGCTACTAAAACGTGAAGCTTTACTTCTTTTGTTATGACAAGAAGCAATTCCAACAGACTAGGTTCCAAAATAGTCATGTAAACTTGCAGAATTCAGCCAAAATTGGAAGCGATACATCAAAATCTTTTGTGACAAGTTGTCTAAAATACCACCAAATTCAATTGAGTAAGCCATTCTACTACTAGCCTTACCCTTATCTCATTAGCGAAACCATAGTCCAGAACCCGGAGCAGATCAGAGTCACCACCGTTACTGACTATATTCTATGTTTACAGTAGACGTGGCTTCACTGGAACCATTAGAAAGTAACCTCTGCAACCTCAAATAAATTATCACTGAGGCTGTACTTCCCTTTGACGAGCCAACCTTCAAATGCTTAGCCCTCCAGACCTCTATGTCTTCATCTATGTTGTGGGTGATTTGCCATAATTGGGCAATTAATCCTGCTCTAATCCAGGGCGCTATGCACTGGTGCATACTATGTTTGCACAGTCTGACGTTGAAAAAGGGAGAAACGAAGTGAAAAATATTGATAGGTGACAGTGAACACATTGATTGTAGCTACTTTCGCTGTAATTCACCACCTCTCGCAAAGACATCGGCTACGGACACCACTCTTTTCAGAGGAGTGAGGGCATTGAGAAGGAAAGAACAAGATGAAACGAACGAAAGCAAAAATGTGAATAGAGGAGACCGGAGAATCGAGGCTTTCGAAAAAAAGGGCGGAATCTTCAAATTCTCAGAGCAAAGCAGTGTGGTTCATTAGAACCCTTCAGTGTCTGAGTAAAATTACAACAACTACAAGCAAAAAGTTTATTTTCAGCAGGACGCGCCAACTTGCGGCGTGTTATGGGCTGCTGAATATCGAACTACTACGTTTCCTGGAAACTCAAAAAAACTCCAGAACAGATTCGCACTCATTTCTGAGTTCAAAGGGGGCCTTCCTATCTCACAACTAATATTATCGCATCTTTATGTGAAATTCTCCATAAAATCCCATCAAAGTTAAAAACTCACAAAACGTTTCCGAATTGCCGCCCTACATTTGTAATAATACCGACAGCAGCACGAATATCTCAGTTTTTCCATGCCGTATTGACGACCGTGACGGCTGAGGGACTGAGGCGCCGGACACAATGTTTTTATTTCGGCACACAGAGGGCGAGTTGTGCACAGTGCCGACGATAACACCCCTTATCGAAGAAATACTGACTTTATGGCCTCTGAATTTATTTCGCGGTCATGAGTCACGGGTTTGGAAACATATCGAATATCAGACGTACAGCTGCCATTTCCGTTTACAGGTGGCTAGAAATAACTACAGCTTCGGAACAATCATAGGGCAGTACTAGACCGACGCTCTCCTCAAAATCAGCTACGCTAACCCTCAGCTGATTTTTTTCAAACTCTACGGATATCTCTTCGCTTATGTAGCTGGTAAAGGCAAACGCTTAGCTTATTCGATTCTGAAATTGTGGAGGAATTGTAGATTATGGTTTAGGGTCTAGTTCCATTACCTGTACACACATTACTTCACCTCTTAGGAATTTCACACGTCTAGTTCCTCATATAACTATATACACTCATCATTACGACTGTGTTCTCCACCTCCATACTCAATATATTATATCTACTAGTTTAAATTAAGCGATCTCCAAAGGTGAAGCCTCAGGTCAGTAGTAAGCTTGACATAGGTAACAGCGTTAGAGCTGTAGCGTAGTCAAAACAGACTGACACACTATTACCTGCTCAAGTTAGGCTTGTGAACGTCAAAATCGACTTGCTCCACGAAAAAAAAAGTATTTTATAGGACTTACTTTCGGAAATCCGTCACTGCTGCTACGTTTGCTACGACCGGATGCTAGCGAAGAATTACTGTTAGCTCGATGTCCACTAGCGGATTCAATGTGAGGCGCCTGCAGAGTAAGCAAAACATGTAAGAGTTCAATAAAGCTATTAAAAAGCGAAAAGCAAGTTGGGTTAACAGCGAATTAATGGAATCTGAGAGCAGTCATTGTCTCATTCTATACGGGGAAAAACACTGGATGAAAAGAAGTGAGAAGCGACAATGGTAGCAGCTATGGAGATGAGGGCAATGTGCCTCGGAGCCCTGTGTAAAGTAAGGTTGACCCTGCATCCTTATGATCATGTATGTAGCACCAACTTCTCAATAAAGTGATATAATGACTGCTCTCCTCATTCCATTACTATAATGACTGCTTTTCTCAATGAATTGAGGATTGCATGGTAGGGATGAAGCACATACCAAATGAAAACAACATACATTTTATGGGTTGGAAGCTAAAAATTGCACTGAAAAGTGTAGAGGTTGAGTAAAGTTAGGCACTCTTTGGTATAAGGAGGGCTGAAAGCACCCGAATCGTGTCATTGTCAATTGTAATTGTCATACTCAAAAACATCTGCACTGTTAAATTGTTTCAATCCCAAATTGTCTCGCCAGCTCCAAGTGTCTCGCTGCTGTCCATCCGTTAAGTTTAAAAAGCTTAACAACATGAAACAAGCAAAACAATTAAGTTCAGCTGGACATGTTATGATGTAATAGAAAAGTGGTTTTACATAGGTGTTGGTTATATCTATCACTGCTTCACAGGAACTAGTAGTTAGTTACAAATCGCCAAAGCCATATTTCATTCGAACTTCAAAACAATCAACTACTGGATGTGTCTCGACTGTTTTCTGATAACTTGGCATATTTTGTAGAAAATGAGCCATGGTAGGATCCTGGAGTTTCCAGTTTGTGGGGCAAGCTATGTACTGAGACAAATTTCTTTCTGCTATACAGTTTGTATCGACGTCGTCCAATTATCCTTCCAGGATCTAGATGGATAGCAGGATCCGTGAGCCTCGTTGAAAATCTCCACAAACTTTTAGTCTCTATACATGCCAATTCTCATAAATGTAAAAAGTAGGAAAGAATTGGAACTTCAGAGCCGGTCTTTTCGAAAATCTGAATCCCCAACGGCTTGCCGGGGTCATCATTACTGAAAGTTGCTTCCTTCTTGAGCGAAAGTCGAAATTCAAAACAATAATAGTTTGCAGGAGATAAGGCAATGTATTTCCCAGACATAGCAAATTTTTTCGATAAAAAGAAGATAAAGAACAAAGCGAAATAGGTACGACCCACCTGTCCTCGTGCTGCCTGCTGAGCGGATATGGGCTTCATTTCACGTAGTTTTGCTTCTATAAGCGTAATTATGACTCTTTTTACACGATAGCAAAAAAGTTCACAACTTAGAAAGACTGCATTCGAAAGATTTGCAGAGAAACCGTACCTATAGAAAGCTAGGAACTTACCTAATGCACTCTCGGCAGCAGCACGATCGAAATATTCTTGTAGATTTTCGCTGTTCTCGCTCATCTGATCCGGTGGGATTTCCACGGACTGGATTTCAGGAGCATAGGTGATGTCGTCGTGTTCATCATGTTCGACTCGCTCGAACACCTTCGCAAGACAATAATCATTAATGGAGAACTCAGCAGTCACGAAGTACCATGCTTTCCCTTTTACGTTTTATGTTTTTCAGGGCGACTGGCTCTGTATAGAGGAGGAAGAACTAATAAAATGAATTGGTTGGGAATATTGAAGGAAACGAGAAAATCCGCTGATTTCGAGGAGAATAGTTCTCTTCAAATGTAGTGAAATTAGTGGTTGTACGAGATTCCCACGACGGAAATGGCATGGAAGGGCTATTGGGACGAGATTCAGTGTTGCAATTGCGCAAAGAGCTCTTTACATCAAGCCAAGACTGTCCAAATTGCCTTCCACTGCCGCCATGGGTCGTGGCAAGTTTACTCTTGCATGGGTTTCCTAGTGAAGGTTGCAGCCTCTACAATGCCGTTGCAACTCGTCTGCGCATACACACGGTATAATTTTCGGGCGTTTGTAACCGCCCTATCTGGGCCGTTTTCCTACCTGACAGCGCAACATATGGTATACGTGGGAGCCACAGATTTATCCTAACAGGATACCTGATAATCTATTTTTATCGTGAACTGAGCGTTTTATACCAATTATGCGACCGACTTGATACGCATAACTTGACTCTTTTCAGCTCTATACAGTTGAATTCTCTAGTGTGCAGTGGAGGTATGCTGAGTAATTTGCCACATTGGTGAAGGTCGTTAACAAATATTTAGTTCGATTTGTGCAATGTTCAGTCTGCTACCTACTGCTTCCTATTCCAGCTGAATATGGAACATCAGGCATCACCTATTAGCGGGCATTTCATTTTTTTCATAAACAAACGAGAAAAGTTTTGCGGAAGCTGGATTATCCGACTGGTTTGTAGTTAGTAAAACTCACCTCCATTGTTTTGATTTGGCGGCTGGTTTGATCCCCGGATGGCAAACGAATAAGCTGCTAAAAGTCAACAATGATTGGCAGCATTTTTGACATTACCATAAAAACAGGACAAAAAGGAGAAAAAGGAAGAGAAATGACGAGCTTCAGAGATAACGAATGATGGTAGGGTGAATTTCATAAAATTGGCCCTAACTCATTGTCGCGTCCAGTATATTCAAATGGGAAGCTCCCCCTTCTAATATACTTTGCAATTGAAGTCCTTCACAGGCAAGTTAAGCACTGTACAATACTCAGAAGAATTTATCTAAGAGACCTACATATTTCGCAGGACTATGAGGCGAGATGCCAGAAAGCGGCAAATGAACATTGGGAATTTGCTATGCAAGATTGTCTAGTGCACAGTTATTTATATCATCATATCCGTCGTCAAGTATCCTCTTTAGCCAACCTTTTCATCCTTTCATCCCTCTCCTATGGCTCATTGGGGTTCATTCTTCAAAAACGCTAATTTCACATTCTTTCGGACTGCATTGACCAAATCCAGTGCGAAATGGGAACATGAAATTTCGGGTCACAGCTGGGACAAGAACCAGACTGATGTGTAGACATGCAGTTAAAATCTTACCTCTGGCCTCCTTTGACTACCTTGACTACTGAGCATTTCCTCCTCCATCACAAAGGCTCCAGTAGGCGAGTGAGCCTAAAATAAAAACAGTAACAGGAAAACTCAAAATATTGTGAAAATCATTCAGTTCCTGAGATCAAAATTCAACATTTGCAAAGTTAGGTTCGGAGTGATGTGGGAATTCGTATTCACGAATCCTGTGTCTTGGCACTTTTCCACGCGCATTCAGAAACGAAGAGCTATCCGGGAGCCCTTCGGAGCCCTGCCATGTTACAAGAAATAGTTTGCCAAGTATAATTTCAGTTGAGTTTGAAACATATTTAACTAGGAAATGGCGAAACGGTGGCATTTTCAACAAATTAGTTCGAGGTATTGTACTGAGTACCCTAACTTAGCTATCGGCGCTGGGCAAAATGGAAGTGTTGTGTATAAAGAATTGAATGTAGTGAACTCTCAGTGATTCCGTTCGAGATAAGTCAATTGTGGGATCGGGAACTGGGAGAATTGCAGTAATACCGCAACGAAACACGTAAGCGTAACACGAATTGATATAAAGTTGGTGCGCAATGGAGGTACTGCTAGCTGCGAACTCTCACCTCTTGATTGCCGAGGTACTCAAGAGCATCGGACACGTACATCTCGGCATTGACGATATTCTTCGTGTCTTCAAATGGGGCGTTCTAGAATGTTTGAAATAGCATTTTGAAGAGGGCTGAATTTTTATCAGCAACATAAGAGCCAACTTAAAAAGCGATGAAGAACTCTCTTCAGTATGATCAGCAACCGAAACCATCCACTCTTTTCATTGATATAAGGATAATGTTAAGGAGGGCGACTAGATTATTTTCTAGCAGTGAGGAACTTTCTTAGCCGGGAGAAAAGGGCAAGGGTCGTACATACCTCAATGTGGAACGGCGTTGCAGACACGTCAGTACCCGCATTGGCTCCAGTGATATGCTTAAACGAAAACTAAGTTAGCTCTGCTTTCAGTACCCTAATATTCGATGAGCTGTTCTTTCCTTTACGCCTGGCTATTGCTGTGGTCAGACTGATATTAAGATTGACGGGTTTCGTCGCTGTGTTGAAGGAGGCCAGTAAAAGGAGGTCATGCAAAGTTCGTTCACTTGCGCACCGTCACCGAGGAAACGTTCAATGGTACTGGGCTGAGAACAAGGAATATTTTTTGAAGTATACGAACACAGTACAAAACTTTCTATGGATTAGAAATATAAGCGGAGGGAATCGATGTAGAAGGAGGCCATCCCACAGTGCTATGGGTATCCAGTGCTGAGGGCCAGAGCGCAGCGATGAGTGGCTCGCGGGCTGAAGTCAGCACGACGTAGATGAAATACTGACAGCTTGCAAAAAGTTGTCATAAGTAGAACTTACTGCAAAAAACTGTCATGAAATAGAATTCACTGAAACAACTCTTATTCGGCGGGAGCGCAAACTGAGTGGGACTTCTGGTTTGTTTTCTTGCCAATTCAGAAATCACCACTCCCCCCCCCCCCCCCCCCCCC